CTTATTACCAAGCTTCTTCTTTTTTCCAAAAATACTCTTATAAATATCATTAAATAGAGACGAATTTTTTAAAAAAAACAAGTTCACAGCTATTCAAAGACACGTGAAGAGGTCCCATCATAGGTATAAATGACGTAATGAATAGAAGAACGATTTCATTGTTGAGAAGAAGTCAATATATAATAGCTTTATGAATAAAGAACTGACCAGGCCAATCTGCAATAACAGGAATTACGTGATCAGAAAGATACTCTTGTATTAATTCCTGACTATGCACAATTCGTAAGGCTTTCGTATAATCTTTCATATTTTTCAGATTGCCTTCGACGAAATCAAAAAGAATAATATTCTGTATATGTCGATCGCTCTTTTTTTTCACTAACCTGTCATTATAACTGTGCAAAGTTAGTTTCTCTATAAGCTCATCATCAAAACACTTACCTATATAGTCCTGTACACGTTCTTGATAAGGAATACCAAGGTTTATGATGAACCGTTCATCAAGGTGTTTTATGATCAGTTCATCATTGATGAATTTTGGGTTTAACGCTCCATTACACAGTATCACTAGTATGGAACACAGATTTGCTATAATGGTTGCCATATGTGCTAGATGAGACGTACTAGTAGAATCAGACTGCCGTAGAATATAAATATTGTAGTAATCGTCAACATTCAGCATGAACGCGTTGCCAGAAAATTTTGAAAGAGCATTTTTAACATATCCCTCGTGAGCATCTGAAACTTTTTTTTTCTTTTATTTACTGCTCTTGATATTGTAGTCACACCAAGATTTGCCAACGTATCTAAGCCTTCATTACTTGTACCTACAGAATCTAAATAATACGCTATATCGAACTTAAAGGAATTAATTTTGGTATTATTTAACAATGCAAGAAGATAACAAATATGAATGATTAATTTCTTCATACGGTCTATGGTTTTATCACCACGCTTAAGAGGCTTGGCTATCAAATACAGTTGGTCAAGGAAATTGTTGAGATTCTTATTTGCTTGAAATACTTTCCTCAATTCATTGTACGAATATATGGGGCCTTCTTTCTTTATGTGTTCTCTCTCGTAAAAGGTTCTTGTCATGGTTTCAATAGCCCCAATGAGATCAATCGAGTCTACACCTTCTACATTTTCCATTATATCTTCTACATCTTGATTTATAACTTCTTCTCTAACTATAGTTTCTATTTCATTCCTAATTATATCTTCTGCTTCTTCAACAGAGACTTTTACTCGTTTAGCACTTTTTTTAAGCCTTTGTAACAGATTTTCTACTAAATTCATATAACACAAGTGGTATAAAATATTGCTCTCTTCTCACATTACCTTTGTTAAGCCATTTCTTTTAGCCTGCTTTCATTTTTCATTCTTTAATAGACGAAATCTACTAGATTCAGTGGCTCTGCATTCCTTATATTTAGTAATTTCAATAGTAATTTCAGACATGACTTTGAATATGAAAGCTGTTGGATTAAGTTGTATTAAGCGAATATGTTATAGGGCTAGATGAAAGCTACAAGTTCTTTTAGTGTACTTGTTCCCCTTTACTTGTGAGTTAAGTTATTCGAGCTTCCGAAAAAGTATTGTAAAATGTATAAAAAAAAACCTTAATTAATTGTATAACGATTCATAAACTCAGGGTACTTGGGACGTTCTTACCTGTTTGCAAGCGTGAATCGTTCGTCACTCAAATAATGGAGCGAATACTAATATATCTCTGATGATGCAAGCGCGAATCATTCATCACTCAAATGATAATGCAAGCATGAATTGTTCATCACTCGAATGACGATGCAAGCTTAATAGAGGTCAAAATGAGTAGCTATAAAACAAGTAGGTAACAATATACTCATAAGTAGGTAAGAATATACTCATAAGTAGGTAATAACCTAATGTAAGTAGGCAGCATTATATATATATAATACTGCCTACTCCTATTTAAACCTTCTAATATGAACTATTCTATACTAATTCAATCTAATCACATCTAGGGCATAAGATATTTTAGTAATTCTATACCCTTCAGATTCTCATGTACTATCTCTAGAACTAGTTTATCCTTAAGACATCACTTGCTAGAGCAGTCTAGTACTTACTATTACTATAATATTTAGTCTTTTAGTAATTTACACCAAGTCTAAAAACAAGTACTTGCGAGCTAAGGCTGTTACTATTATCTACTTGTCCTTGTAAAGTTCATCTAAACTCTAGTAACTCCTCTTCAAAACAACCTGATACTATTTTTCTTTTAGTATCCTCTAGTCAGTCTTCTTAGACTACCAATTCAGATAGCTCAAAAGAGACACCAGTTCTTTGATATTTGCTAATCTTTTTTCTCTAGTTGATATTCTAGTAGCCTAGTTGGTGAAACAACTTGCCATTACTCTTGTCTTGTTTGGTTAACTGGCCTCAGGTAAAATCTATTCTAGTAGTTATTATTGAAAGTTTGCACTACTTTTCTACTTGGATTTTGCCAAGCGAGCATCTGTCTTTCTAGTTTCTTAGTATTATATAATCATATAATTTATATATTATATGATCTTTCAATCTTGTTGGTACTACAAAATTACAGAGATTCTGTTTTAATCAATTATCAAAAAACAATAGCCGTTATATAAGCAAAATTTTTGAATTTCTGTCATTGGTGAGTTTTAAACCTCTAACTTGCTAACATACTGCTTGGGAGTGTGACAACTTAACCACTTCACTAAATTACCACACCCAATTTTCACTTAGGTTTAACATGTATTCAGAAAAGTTCTCATTAGAGCATTTTTTATAAGCTTTTTTTAGTTTATTTTGCATAGAATAAATATGGAATAAAAAAAAATATTTAATAATATCTATATATATATCCTACAGAGTATTTTATAATGGGTTTAAAAAAAATAAAAAAAAACTTTTTAAGTATTAACTATATTATGCAAATAAGTACTTATATCTAGCATTTTCACTAAAAGATCATTTTTATAATCACTTCTTTGCTATTTCAGTTTATTTTTGATTTTATGTATATTAGTATCTAGGTTTCAGATTAAAAGATAGAGCTACATATCTTGTTTAAACAGCACTAGTCGACTTGTTGATAATATTTGAGATATTTTTATTTTATTTCTGTAAGAAAAAAAAATTTTTTAAAAAAAAAAAATCTCTAAAGTGCTATATCTAGAGAATTTAAAGTTCAAAAAAACTTATATATTGTATCATTATGATTATATAGTTGATTCTGATTGGGTGATTGTCAATTTCATGATTGTGATCTAGATTGTGATCTAAATCATGACCTGGATTATAACCTTTGGTCAATGAGGATAACCAGATATAAAGGAGATAAATTGTTATTAGGAGTATTGTTATTAAGAGTATTGTTATTAGAAGTATTGTTATCAGAAGTATTGTTTTCAGAAGCATTATTATTATGAGCATTGTTAGGGCATGCCATTTATTATATAATATTTTTTACTTAGTAGCCACCCCATCTATATATGGTGTGATCAGGTGCATCTATTTGCGAAAAATCAAATTCGCACTCCCTTGGCACTCATATATATTTTTACTCAATGATTAGCATTTAGAGACTTAAATTCATAATCAGATGAGTTTGCCGGATAGGTTTATAATTTTTTTTCGATACCCATGCCAATGCAAAAAAAAAAAGATCTGAGTAGACTATGTTATATAAAATATGGTGAGAATAAGCATAACGTAGTAAGAAACATTCTCAGCTAACCAGATCAAGATTTTGCTAACGGTTGTACAATGTCAAATTGTTTTTTTTGTAATATTTATTACTTTATACAACATTTCCCTGTTTTACTATTAGTTTATTCATGCAGAATATACAAGGATAGATTAGTCGCACAACCTAATTCAGCAAATTGACTAAAATTTAGGGTTGGAATAAGTCAAAACTAGGACAGCATTAGGCAATAACACCAACCATATTATAACATAAATTAACATCTAGATAACTTAGTACATGGGATACCGCTTTATTTACTAATTTCAGCCTATGATCCTGAGGGTTCAGGGCACAAGTAAAAAATTAGACATGCCCTTCATGTATTGTATTATTTGATTATAAACTGTCACCAGCCAATCACAACATATGTAATATGACAGGCTTTCATTGTAATTGGCTAATTTTTATAGATCATCCTGTGATATAGTAAAAATTTTATTGGTTAGTCAATTTTAGCTAATACTGAAATATATTAAACATATAGTATAATATTCCATTCTATTATCCAATCAAATTTAATGTCTGTTACGTTATCTTGGCCAATATTTGGTAGGATATATACAGTATATATATATATTTTATGAGTTAGGTTTTTATAGATTACGGTTAGAGTTAAGTATGAGCATGCTTTTTGGTCATAAGACATGACCATGGGCATGCTTATGCCCACTGTGTAGTGATGCAAAATGGCTCTGCAAAGCTGTAAGCTGATCAGCTTAGCCGCAGCTCTTATCAGTTTGGCTACAGAATGACTTGGCTAAAGAATAGCATGGCTTATATTATATAAGCTGTTTAGAGCCGTAAGCCGATCACAAAGCTATCGCTAACGTATTATAACTACGTACTGTAATTAAAATTAATAATAAACTATAATAAACTATAACGATGATAATATATTTAATAATTTCGTTTATTATACAATAAATAACTTTTTTTCTTTACTCTTAAATATCAAAATGGATCTTAACGACTCTTATTGTAATAATTCACCAGAATCCCAAGACCTTTTACAAGATACGTTTGATAGCAATATAGCCAGTTCGAGCACAGGCGTTACTTCCTTTTCTTTAGTTACTAGAAATAGAAAACCATCTGTAGTTACACTATATTTTCCAAAAAAAAATACGACTGATATTAATTCTCCAGTTATTTGTGTTATTTGCAAAAATGAATTCAGCAAAAAAACATCAACGGGCACATTATGCAAGCATCTTGATACACAACACCCAGGTGGAGTATGATTGAACTTTTTGCATTTACGCAAAATAATACAGTTTCAGTACAAACTTTAACTGTTGATCAAAAGGTACGATTTAATACTTTATTGGCTGAGTGGATTGTTTCAGATACCTTACTCTTTTCAACTGTTGAAAGTAAAGCATTAATTGCTTTGTTACACTTTCTTAATGCCACTCTTGAGTTACTTTCACGTGAAACTATCAAGTCAATTATACAAAACTCTTTTATTTCAATGAGAAGTGATGTTCAAGCCCTTTTTAGGCAAATTTTTAGTAATATTTTAATTACGTTGGATATTTGGATTTCCGTGCTAATATGCTTTTTCTTGGTATTACCGCACACTGGATCGACAGTAATTGGAACCTAAAAAAATTTTAGTCGATATGTGCATACTACTGCATCCACATAACGGTGAAGATATTGAAACAAAACTAGAATCTATTTTAGCAACTTTTAATATTACTACGAAGATTATTTGTGCAACTACGGATAGTGGATCTAATGTTATTTCTGCAATTCATTTATTAAACATGCATTTATCTATGCAAAATTTTTATTTTTATTCACGTTGTTGTCTTGCACATGTTCTGTATCTCATTGTTATGGCAGGAATGACACCAATTAAAACATCAATTGAAAAAGTATATAGATTTGTGAAGGCTATTACATCATCATCCACAATCACCCAAGATTTTAAGAAAATTGGACAATTGGTCGATGAAGACGAAGTAGTTCGCAAAATTCCACAAGACATATCAACTAGGTGGAATAGTACTTATCTTATATTATCAGTTTATACGTCTATGCCTACAACAATAGCAGCAATTATGAGGCATCACAATAATCTTGTTTATTACAAGCTTACACTACAAGAAGATTCTGATCTTCAAGTTGTTACTCGATTTTTACAACCATTTTACGAAGTTACTAATATACTTTCTGGTAGCACATATGTAACATTGGGACTTTCTATTGTATTAATAGATGATATTGTTGATGTTATTACATCATACATACAAGATTCCTCAAGCCCTTTATTTCTTAAAACCGCTGCAACACAAATGTTGGAAAAACTCAATCAATATATAGTTTATATATATGATAAAGCAGCTTTTATAGCTTCAGTTCTTGATCCTCGAATCAAACTTGAATTAATGCCAGTTAATATGAACACCCCTGAAAACCGTGACTTTTTTAATCATATTTTTCAAGATTATTTGATGCCTGAACTAAATGCTAATATGGTTTCAAATACTAAAAAATTGTCGAATTCGATGACATATATGGAACAAGTGGCTCAAAAACAACGGCGAGCTAATGTTTTAAGTAGTTCAAGCCCAACGGATGAACTTTCTCAATATTTAAGTAAAGCTACCTTACCAATGAGCATTAATCCTTTGGAATGGTGGAAACTCAATAGTTTTCATTTTCCGGGCATGTCACAAATGGCTAAAGACTTTCTCGCAATCCAGGCTATGTCAGTGCCTTTTGAACAAATATTTTCAAAAGCAGGCGATACTGTTTGGGCTAAACGTGTACGTCTTTCTGAAAAAAGCGTATAAGCACTAATGTGTACTGGCTTATGGTTGGAACACGGCATTAGATTTCAAAGGGATTGATTATTTTTTTTTTAAAAAAATTTTTTTTAATTTTTTTTTTCTTTTAAAAAAATGTTTTTTTAAAAGTTTTTTTTTTCATTCTAAAAAATTTTTTTAAAAAATTCTTTT